GCCCTATGTGATGTCTAACGGCACAGAAAGAATCACAAACACATTTAGTACCCTTATAAAGTTATCAAGCACCTTCTCTTAAAATGCTGGGGTTGGGTGGGTGGGGAGGGGGGGGGGAGGAGAGATTAACACGAAAATGTTTGTTCATAATAAATTATCATTTTCCCACTTTGATTCTACTTCTTGTTTCTCAGTCTTTCATTGTTTGTTTCTCTGGACGTCCACAGACCGGTAAGTGCACCTAGAGGTCTTTGGATTCTCAGTAGCACCGGCTGGGAACCTCTGGTCTGCTCTGTCAACGTCCACGCAGTCCAAGTCATCAAGCACGTACGCTCAAACAGACAGCGCGCCCGGTTTGTTTTGTCCCCTTGTTCCTTTGTGTCCTGTCTCGACTACCTGCTAGATAAATATACGCATTGTTTGGCATGTTTGTCGGCTTCTATGGCTATGACACCGGAAACGCGCCTGGTAATTCAAAAATTCCCAGGTCGATTAAAGCTGCAGGTGATTTGGCAGCAGACCACTGTCCGTTGATTTCAACATCTGTTTAGATCAGTATAGAAAGCACTGGAAAACTCAACAAATAGCAGGACCCATATAGAAAATGGCTCTAAATCACCATCAACATACCTAAGGGGAAAATTCGATTCCGCACACGCTCTAACACTTAATGCACTTTCCGGCCAAAGGTATATTATTTCCCATGCCCATCTATAAACTGGTCGGCCCCTGCACCTCCTATCTGGAACCATTTCCTCTGCTACTGTTCTTACTAACCCGTCGTTTGATATGGCCAATGTAGTTCAGTTGTCAACAACAAATGACTTTTACGAGCTAATTTTCCTTTACGTTCATATCGTTTAGACAGCAATAATTCTTCCCTTCTTTGTACATGCAGTTTAAAGAATCTTGCAATAATAATTCAACTCAAAAGCCCATATTTGATACCGCAAGGATTGCGAGGTAGTCCGTGACTCACATCCTCTCTAAAACTGTTTTGAGGTTTTGAACAAAGGATCAACATCATGGCACACGGGTAGTATCCCATAAGTGCTGCGTTCCTCTTCTAACTCAAGTCTGAGTCCGAAGAAGCTCAGCAAAGTGCACTGGCTCTGTAGCACCAGTGAGGATCCTGAAATACTTTGGATTTTTAACTCCAAATTTTGCCCGGGCAGCGTCTTTGGACTTCTCTTTTAGATTTCCAGCTGCCGAGAGATTTTTACATGCGCAACAATGTACACGAGCGTCCGGTCTTACTACCCAGAGACTAGGGGGAAATACTACAAGCCCAAGTCTACGTGAAAAATCCCAGTCCTTCTCGGGAATTTAACCCGGAACCTCTATCACTTGAGGCGGAAACGATGCCTAGAGACCAGGCAGCCCTCCGCATCCTCTCTAAAAAAAAGATGTACAAGATGTTTACTTTACTGTTTAACAACTTTATGTGGATTAGTTTATCATATATGTGTGCGGATTAGTGTAACAACTCTATGTGATTTAGTGTAAAAACTATGTGTGGTTTAGTGTAACAACTATGTCTGGTTTAGTGTAACAACTTTGTGTGGGTTAGTTTACCAGAGCTTCATGCAGACGGTGGTCTGTGTCTGCGGCTACCCTGAGATATGACTTTGCCTGCAGCACTTTGTGCCTACCTGCAACCGTCAGCAAACCAAGGATGTATCGCATACACACCACTGGGGTGTCTCTGGTACAACCCAGAATGACCCGCTTAGCCGCGTTCTGTATGCGCTCTAGTTTGTCCATCTGACTTCCGGTTTGAATCCTCGGTAAGGCTGTGGATTTTTTTATGTCGGGGGCAAAATAAATTCCTCACCTGCACAGTTGTGGCGACAGTACTAACCAAGCGGCCGCAAATTTTCAGGCTCAAAGACCCACCTGCCTACACCGCAAAACGGGTATAATTAAGGTAGTAGCTGGCAGTTTTTGACAATACAAAAGGCTTACCAATACATTCTAAGGCTTCTGTGTAGAAATTCTCCCACTTGTTATTAGTGAGTTATCGGGAAGAGAGAAAGAGAAGGAGAATTACAAAAGAATTAAGGTGAGGAGGAAATCTGATTAGGATAATATGTAGTTCCCCGCTGAACTTCAAAAACAGGAAACGAAAAGAGAAGATACGGGTTCTTTTGTGCAAGGACATTGAATGTTGCTCGTAGCCCAGGCAGTAGTGCAATAATGAGTTAAACATCAACAACATATGTCTCAAAATACTATTAGATAAGTAAATCACTTCCAACGACCTGCAATTAAATCCGAGCTTGTATACACACTTATATCAAGGAAATTTAGATCTAAAACATTGTTAGTAATGAAACGTACCATCGCCATGAAATCAGTGAGCCAATTCATTTCTATCAGGGCTGTACCGAATAGTGATTTCCATACGAATAGCTGGAACACGAATACGAATACGAATGGTGAATCATCATCATCAGGTGCTGTCCAAGGTATTTTAAGCATTGTTCTGTAAAACCACATCTCTGAGGCCTCATGAAAGTGTTTGGCCTGCCTACCGATTGTCCAGGACTTACAGCCAAATGTTAAAACTGGATGTATGTAGCAAACAAGAATTCTTTTTCTAACCTTCAATGACAAAGATATATTGCATAAGATGATCTTCATTTTATAAAATGCAGAGTTTGCCTTTCCTATTCTGTTTCTTATTCCAGTAATGCATCTTCCATCTGATGTTATCTATGTACCCAGATACTTAAATTGCTGTACTTGTCCCAAAATAAAACCAGTTACTTTTATTACACATTTAGGAATAATTATTTTCTTTGATACCACCATTACTTCTGTCTCCCTACTATTCAAACTGAGGCCCATTCTTCCACTTTCGAATAGTGTATAAAATAGATCTAAAAAAAAAAAAAAAAAACACCCATAATGTCAAATGTACGCTTAAATTTTACTTCACAAAATGTAGTACAGAATAGTAAACATTTCATGTTTTGCATCCTTCAGTCAGTATGTGGTAACTAATACCTAGTAATGAAAGTATTCTTAGTTTTATCAAAATTAACTCAACTTGTAAATTGTCACTGACAGCTTAGTTAATCCATGAAAGCGGCATTAGATTTAAAAAATAAAAATAAAATAAAAATTGTTCCAGGTAGTCAGCAATAGGGCAGCTTCATGTCTCACTGAAGGTATTTCCTGCTGTACTAAACAGACGTTCACTTGGTACGCTCGTAGGTGATGCACAGAGATAACGCTTGACAGTTTGAACCAAGGTGGGAAATCTTGATGTGTTCATTTTCCACCAGTCCTGAAACGTGTGTAAGGTAACCACTATTCGTATTCGGCCCGACCGCAACTATTCGGCCGAATACCGAAAAGTTATTAGGTCCATTATTCGGTCCCGAAGCGAATACGAATCGAATATTCGGTACAGTCCTAATCTCTATACGTACTGAGTCTTCTGAAACCCACGTTGCGTTAAACAACGGAGAGGTCGGAACTACATCTTACTGGTCGCACCACCATCGAACAACAAACCAAATAGCCAAGAGAGCGAAATCTCCTACTGCTTATGCCTTTTATAAACACGATGACTTCATTTTCAGAGAGATCAAATTTTCAGACTTGCCAGGTTTAGTTCGCAAGTGCAGCAACCCAAAATTATTAACATCTGCAATCATCGTGTTACACTAAGCTGTTGCAAGCTAATCCTTTACCACAAGTCTATCAGTTGTAAATGCTACGTGTTCAACTTCTACCGTCAATTTTCCTTGTTCGGTTCTGTAAACCTGCTTTGTCCCACTCAGTGAACCTGTTTTGTCTTGCGTCAGCTGTCATCTCTCGGGTAGCTAGTCTCCCGTGTAATCGCCTAGCCATTACTCTGATCATTTACCCAGGCCGGCGTCTGACTCGTGAACCCTCGTTGACCTCGAACTTCTCAACCAGTCACTAACAACATACATACAAACACCATAGCCACGCAGGGCTCTGGCAGTGCCTATGTGTGTGGTTATCGAAGTCACAGTTACGCAGTCTGCTCCCTGTTGATCTGCAAGGGTTGCAGATCGTGATGTGTGGGAAGCCTAACATACGTATGTGAGCTTAGGCAGTCATGTGCGGAAAGTGACGATTCCTTGGGTCAGCACAGGATCAGAGCATAATCTATCGGCTCAGGTTTTATGGATGCCTCCTTGATAAGGAATGCTCTTGATCTGCTCTTGATCCATTGGTGGGCGACCAGTCAAACCGCTGCTGCTCTGGGTGGGTTCTCCAGGGGGCAACGCCTGTACACAAAGATGACGCCACACAAATAAGGCTATGCCATGTCCCATGAAAAAACAGGGAAGGCCAGCCAGGTGAACAAATGTCTCTAAAGTCAGATGTGTCGGCTAAAAAAGCGCAAATATCCCACCTATGTCGTAAACAGGCACAAGGTAATTACGTCACTAGGACGAATGATGAAGAAGAACCTAGGAAACACATGGTGAGTAGGATGGTTGATCCTCAAGGAGCAGAAAGAACTGATAGATCTTAAAGTTTATGCATACAATGGAAAGCTATTGCTGGTGTAACAAGCAAACTTAGAAATCTACTCACCTCTATAAAGTTATCATTTAATATTTATTTAAAAAAAAATTATAACTTTAGCAGTGCGACAAATAAAAGCTACTTGCTTAGCTCTTTGAGTCCCAAGGAACGCATCATATGTTCATAGGTTACTGCCCAAACGCCCAATGAACGCATAATGCGCCGATTTTACGTCTCTCTTGACTGCCCCTTGGGCCTGTGTGCTAAAACATCTTGGACTCAAAGAGTTAAACTGAGAGCTGTCACCACAAGGAAGATATTTTAAAATTAAAATTTGGCCGATTTACTTTGATTAAGAGGTACCATTATAAGAAAGCAAATTTTAAAGTGTAACCTAAAGAGACGTTTATTTGCTTAAACTATGTGGAACCTCTATAGTAATGCTAAATGTAATGACGTTGACAGTGTAACAATAGGAAGCTACTTACTTAAACCAGGAGGCACAAGAGGGCACAGAGTTTTGCTGTCTGGCGTTGATACCCACAGTACTTCAGCATGTGATGTTGTTTTCAGCGTCTCATTTGTTAAACTTCTCGCAGAAAGACTTCCTTCTATTTTGTTCTGATCAGAATATACTGTGTGCTGAGGAAGCGAACTGGTGTTTGGTTTCTTATATGTGCTTTGAAATTCCAGTTCAATAAGAGGATGAATGATTCGATCAGAAACGGTATCTCCTTTGTAGATGTTTTCAGTTGTGAAATTATTTCGTGAGTTGCTAGGAACTCTTTTTATTTCTGTAGTTTCCATGATGACCATACTCCGGAAATCAGATCGCGTCCGTTTGCTGGCTGTAGTTACTGATTTGGCCACTAAGTGGTACCCTGGCTTACTGAAGTAGCGGAACAAGAAGATGTTGCTGGAACAGAGTATAAGCAGGCAGGTGAACACCTTGAACTTGTTACACTTGTCCATGGCAACTATAGAATGGCAGAACCTAGAGAATCGTCAGGGTGGAAACAGCCGCACCAAATGTTGATCAGACCAACTACATTTTCTCCACTGTGTCACTGCTTTAATTTTACACTCAGCGGCTCAGCCTGTGGAAGAATACAGACACGTATATACCATCTGATATCTGCATTTCATGTGTGGATTCTAATGTACACATTTAAGGAAGAAGGAATGTACCAATGTCCATTAACAAGCAAGCAGTTAAAAGCTCCCAATTAAAGATTTCCTTAATCGGTTGTGATGCCGAGCGGCTAGACGCTCGCTGCGGATCGGTAGGTCGTGCGGTCGCTCCCTGGTGGAGCCGGACTTTTTTTCAAAAATTAACTTAGCCCATAGGTCGATCCAGCCTTAAGTGGGTGCTGGTGCAGTCCGAGAAAGTAAAGGCGGTCGGCGTAATGCTGATCACATCACCCATTTTGTGCCGATTGGTCTATAAAAATATAGGTCTATACACCTACAGGTGGGGAGAAGGGTCCTTTACTTTTACTTACTTAAATCGGATGTGTTTTAGTGTTGGGCCGACATATATACTTATGACTGCCTAGGGCAGCGGTTCGCAAACTTTTTTCGCCGCGGCACCCTTGTCAGGCAAAAATATATGTTTCGGCACAACTTTGCCTTAAAGCAGTTAAATACTTAGGGACAGAAGGAAAAAAGTGAAAATTTTATGTTCACCTGTCTGTAATGAAATGAATGAAACTTTTTGGATGCATTTTGTATTACATCCTCTTCATATTCATTTTTAGAAATTCTCTTTATCATAGATGATCCTGCCTAAAGAGATAAAGCGCGGCATTTGAAGATGTCTTATACTTTATGTACTAAATCAGAACGATTGCATTCTAGATGTCTCTGTAATTTAGACGGAGTCAAGAAGCTGTTAGCAGCACTTCTATGGTAGATAACGCATTGCGCTTACGGTGACTGTCCGTTCCCGACCCAAACAAAGAGAGGCAGTTAGGATAATATTTTCTTAGTTTTCCTTGAATTTTATGTGGTTGTGAGTTGCCTTTTCGCAAAAAAGAAAACACATGGAGAAGGCAATGTTCTCCCCATCTTTCTAATTTCATTCTCCAGCTCTCTTCTCCACGTGTTTTCTTTTTTTTTTTTTTGCCTTCCTTTATTCCTGTGCCCCTGTGGGTTCCAAGACATTTTAGTTATGATGTTCTCCAGTTTTCTCAGTTTGTGCCCTATCCAACGCCAGCGTCTTTTCCTCACCTCTTGGTCCACTGGAGCCTGTTTAGCTCTCTGCCAAAGCTCTACATTAGTTATTCTATCATACCATTTGATTCTCTCTATTCTGCGCAGACACAAGTTAATAAATGTCTGTAATTTATTAGTAATCGTCCTAGTTGTTCTCCATGTTTCCACCCCATACAAAAGTACTGATTTGACATTAGAATTAAACATTTTTAGTTTAGTATTTTAATTTCTTTTGACCTCCACAAATTCCCTAGTGCTATAAGAGCTCCTCTTGCCTTTTGTATTCTTTTTTAACATCTCTATCAGTTCCTCCATCTTTATCTACATTAGTGCGCAAATAGGTGTACGACTCCACGTCTTGGAGTGGGGTGCCATTAAGAGAAACCACATTACTATTTGCCTGGTTTATTCTCATTATCTTTGTTTTTCCTTCATGGATTTTCAAACCAAGCTGCTGTGATCTCGCATCAACTATATTTAATTTATTTTGCATCTGATTCCGTGAATGGGACAGAGGAGATACATCATCAGCGAAGTCCAGATCATTAAGTTGTTTTATAGGGCTCCACTGAATTCCATTCTTGGTGTTAGCAGTTACTGTTTCATAATCTAGACTATAGCCAGTAAAAATAAGAGAGGCGACAAGAGACATACCTGTCGCACACCTGTTTTTATTTCAAATGTATCTGTTAGCTTTCCCTCATGAAGAACTCGACATGTCCCATCTTTATATGTTGCCTTTACTAAATTAATAATTTTTTTGTGGGATTCCATGGTGCCCCATCAATTTCCAGAAAAGCTTTTTCATAGTCTATAAATCCAATGTCAAGTGGTGAGTTCAGTTCAATGCTTTGCTCTATTGTAATACGTAATGTGGCTATCTGCTGGTCAGTGCAGGATCTGTTTGACCGAAAACCTAACTGTTCATCTCTTAGCTTTTTATCAACAGCATCTTTTCATCTTTCCAAACTAATTCTACTTAATATTTTTCCAGGAACTGAAAGCAACATAATTCTTCTATAGTTTTCACACTCCTGTAGATCACCTTTTTTGGGGCAGCTTCATAAGATATCATTCTCTCCAGTCTGCTGGTATTTCTTCTGTCTCCCAGACTTTACTGAATAATCTATGTAGCAATTCTGTTGATGTGGCCCTGATGGCTTCAACTGGGATACCATCTGGGCCTGCCGTCTTTCCTTCCTCGAGAAGATTGATAGCATTTCCATTTTCCTCTTTGGATGGTATCTCACAGTTGATATCCAGTTCCATTTGTATGTGGTCTAAGATTATTGTCAGAGGCCAATTCGGCTACGGGATGAACGGAGTTGATGATAGTTAATAATCACGTATGATCGAGCTGACCCTCAGTAAAACTCAGTGTGAGACAGGGCAGCTTGACCACGGAATAAACTGGGTCGAGTTAAGTGGCTAAGCCCAGGTCCCACGGTTAACACGTATTACTGCGTGTCGAGAGATGAACGAGTGAGGGGGACAAACGGCTTGGACAGAGCTCGCTGGAGGAGAGTTGTGTAGTAGGGACTGAACTGGGCAAGACGTAGCGCTTCGACTAGGTAAACGTGTCTTAGTTTAGTGACGGTTAGATTGAATAGTGTTTGTAGTTAGTATTTTTGAGATAGGCTGTGTTTCCATTTAATGTTTCGACGAGATAGCGTAGAGTTAATGTTCCTTGTATAGACCTCAGAGAGCAGCAACAATGACAGTGACGGTTCAGTGTCCGATGCAAACTTACCAGATGAGCAAAGTACAAATGCCGCAGAAAAGGTTGATTTCGCAGATACGTCCTGTCAAGTATGCAGATCGTTCAATGAGGAATTTAAACTGACATGTGGTCATAAGATACTAGATACAGGTGCAGCCAATTCTGCGACTAGTTTTGATGGTAAACTCAAGTTTAGTAAAGGGTTAATTAACGTACCAAGAGTGTTAGATTTTGAGAGACAGTGGCGCCACAGTGTTAGGCATCAGAAAGAGTCTTGTAAACGACAGTGATTATACGGGTGAACATATTGTATGTCGTACATTCTCAGGTAGAAAGGAGCGATATGAATTAGCATGAGCTAATATTAGATCTGCCTATTGTACAGGTAGAGCTAAATTTGCAGTCCTATTGGACCCAGTTGCGGATGTGATCCTTGGTAACTGCAAGAATGTTAAAGATGTGTCCGAGAGTGATGTGATCAGATGGCAAAATGAAAATATTGCATGTTATGTTGTGACAAGACAACAAACAGTGAGAGAGGATGACGAGAGTTAGAGGGAGAGAATGCAAACAGTTATACTGTTTTTACCTACTACTGGTAATAACATGAAAAATGAATTCATCTCAAAACAGCGAGATGAAATAAATGTTTTCAGCTGGTAAATTCTCTAGAGAAATCTACCAGTATAATAGGATACGTTGAAGTACTTCCTAGCAACCCAGAACCTTCTTACCCCATCCTAGGAGAAACTGCATGTAAACTAGTTCATTTTCCCGAAGAAAATCCCTCAGCGAACAACTTTTAACTAAGTTCTACAGTAAAGGTTTGAACATTCGAAAGTAGACTGTTCTACCCAACACATACAAACAGAAATCAGTGACACCCCCCACTGCAAAATTAGATCTCGCAATTGACCCCACTACTAAAATAGAAGATGTTTTCACAGATAACAGAAGTTTGAAATGGAAAGCAATTCCATTGAACATATAGAAATAGATTGTACACTCTATAAATACGTCCACATTTGCTCTATTAACCCTATATATTTCTTTTGTTGCTACCTACATCAAACATAAATGTATTGTCATTGGTGATGTTTTAAACTGTGTAGCAACATTTAGATCAGTTGTTAAAAGTATAAAAGAATTTGGACTGACAGTCAAACTTTCTAAATTTGAAAAGGTTTTTGGGAAAATTTATCTTTTAGGGAATAACATTTCAAAAGGAACACTTATCAGTGATCACAAAATTATTTCCAACATTTTGCACCTTGAAATCCCTACAAGTAAAAAGGTATCCCGAAGCCTACTTGGGACCATCAATCACAACAAGAAATTCATCCTAAATATTTGTTAATAAACTGCATGTGCCAATACGATTTAGTGGAATACGTTTAATGTTTCGACGAGGTAGCGTAGAGTTAATGTTCCTTGTAGTGTAGACGTTCCACGCAGTATTTGTTAAGCAGCTAGTGAATGTGTGACACGCATTGGTAATGGCGGTAACACTGCCCAGTCACACTTAGGCCATACACCTTACGTATGTCACTGAGTCCCGCGTGGCAAAAGACGACGGCTTAGTCAACGCTGATAAACTGTTAGTTTGGAATAGTTTCCTTGGGGGTCCATGGGAACGGCTCGGGTTGACCATTGAATGTAAAAGCTGCTCAACGCCGGCGTTTAGGATAAGGAATGACAACTCGGATGAAGTGTATTAAGTTGTATTGTTCGTTGTTCATTAAAGATTATGTTCGTACTCAGCAGGTGCGTGTCTTAAGTGTGTCGTAGGGTCGTGAAGTCTGTTAGCTGGCCTACCTAGCGAGCCATAGAAAATACATTAGTAAAGTAGGTCTCTGACAATTATCCATTTCCATATGATTTTATAATTTACAAGTGCTGCTGTTTTCTAACAGCGGCTAATGTCTTTAATCGTTTTCGGACTACACATGTGTGTACCCCTTTCTAAAATAAGGATGCCTCAGTTTCTCCCAGAGATTACCCCAAAAACGCGTGATGTTTGGACAACTTATTTAAAGCT